CACACATATATATATACATATATATATACACACACACACACACACACACACATATACATACATATATACATTTTATATATATACACACAGTTAGATATATAAAGACATATTTCCACAAACAACTGCATGAGAGGTGTTTGACAAATGTTTCTGAATATAATACAGTGGGTGTGGCAATATGAGGTCACATTACCAGGAAGTTATTTAGATTTGAATATTTCAAAAAAATCACCAAAAATACACAAAATCATATTTCTAAAATCCAAGTCATGTAAGATGTGGGTCAGGATTGTGTGATTATATCACAAATGGAGTGACATCATCGGGTCACATGAGCAGGAAGGCATATAGATTTGTATATTTGAAAAATTCATTAAAAATACACAATCATATTTACAAAATCCAAGTTGTGTAAGATGTGTGTCAGGATTGTGTGAAGATATTACAACTGGTGTGACATCATCGGGTCACGTGAGCAGGAAGGCATATAGATTTGTATATTTCAAAAATTCTTAATAAACAGAATAAATGACTTTTCCAAAATCCAAGTCGTGTAAGAGGTGTTAAAAGTGTTACTGAATGTATTACAGGTGCCATAACAACACCGGTTTCTATCAGTTAAAAGAAAATGTTGGAGTAATATGTAATAACTTAATGCATGGTGAACATCCCATTCACAGCTTAAAATTACGTATTAATGGTTTACCACTTAATTCACATCTTTACATTTTATTTGTATGATATTTTGCATGTTTTTGAATCTCGGAATGCATATCTTTTTTTTAATGCACTTTTGAGTCCCTTAATTCGCTCGGCGAATGTCTAACGAATGTCCAACATAAAACCAACTTTACCGCACCAACAAGCGCGAGGTAGTGAAGCTGACGAGGTTTAATACAAGAGTAGCAGAATAAAACACATTTACAGCTCAGAGAACCACTTAAGAGCTACGAAGCATATTTTATATGACAGATGATTACTACTGAAGACTATTTTAAATAAATAAGAATATCTCGAAGTCGATAATGCAGTTACCACCAAAGCTGCTAAAATGATAGCTGTTCCGATACTTTACAAGAGAAAAATCCACTTTGTCATTGAATCGTTGTAAGCATACCAGGAAAGAAGCTTTGAAATGTCTTCCAGTTATCTATAGTTACCACTAAACTCATCAAATGTGAACCTACCGTGCAGAAGATTGAACTGTAAAAAGAACTCGTCGTAACATTTTTCTGGCATTAAATAATTAACCAGAACATCTTTGAAAGGGTCCATAAATGATGTTTCTACAACCGCTTCCGCCATGATGCAAACGTCAAATCAAGTCACGTGATGTTGTGCGCTGCTGTAATTCGTCTCCTTTATTTATGGAAACTCTTCTAGTAACTTGTGTTCCCACGACTTGCGGCCCAAATTATTTCTTAGTTGATATGTATTATTATTATTATTAGTAGTAGTAGTAGTAATACCAGTATGTGTATAAAATTTGACTTGTTTTTTTTCTGTCAGCGAAAGGTGGTTCCATATCGCCGATATAAAAAGATACCTTGCTAGTTTGTCCTCAGTGACGCTCCGTAGAAGCGATAGTGAAAATGAAATTTTAGATGTGGTCATTTTTTGTTTCTTTGCACTCAAGTTATCCCAATTACACAGGCTGAAATGAACACGAATCGCTCAATAAGAAAAAGTGAATCGGGACTAAGCTCCGACATTTCAGGCCAACCGTATTGCGTCTCAGTGTTGAAAGAGGGCTACTGCACAGCTGAATCAGACGGGACGTTTAGAGCTGACGGCACTATTTCTTTAATTACCGGACCACAGACTATTCTGGTAGACACCGGAGGTCCATGGGATCGAGACTTTCTGGTCGCAAAACTTAAGGAGAAGGGTCTGACACCAGATAATGTTGCTACAGTAGTCGGAACCCATGGTCATTCTGACCACGTGGGAAACTTGGGGTTGTTTCCAAACTCCAAAATAATCGTGGGATGTGACATAAGCGTGGGGGATCGATATCTGCCTAACCAGCTGGCTGAGGGAGAGCCATATCCTATTGATGATTTTGTAAGTTATTCATATGTCATATATGGCCATAATTAGACTCTAACGTTATATGTACTGAAGTAGCATACAAGTATAATTAACTGATCCACTTTATCCACAAGGTATCCGTCATTCCCACGCCTGGCCACATGGGTAGAGATGTCAGTGTCCTGGTGAAGGGAACATCAGAGGGGACGGTCCTTGTTGCTGGAGACTTGTTTGAACGTTGCCATGATGAAGATTCATGGAAGGAGCTGAGCGAGAATCCTCAGATACAAGAGACCAACCGACAGATGGCGCTGCAGATTGCTGATGTGATCATTCCCGGACACGGGCCATTATTTAGAGTCCACAGGGAATAATGGCATTGACGTACTCCTGGACTTGAGTTGTTGAGCAATTATGAAACCTTGATCACAAAGAACACATTAATTTATATCACCAGTCTGACGCAGGGGTTCTAAAATAGGACCTTGGTGTTGACACTGTACAGCTACTGTAGATGTGAAATGAGATCACTTCATTCATCAGTGTTGACCATTCATACTTCAATCTTAGTTTTTCAGTTTACCCGCATTGAGTGCTCAAGGCAGTGACACACTTGCTTGGGTTATTTTTAGGCTTATCTTGTTTTTAGATCATGTGACAAAAGATGGCTATGGAAGATATGATTGTAACTCAGCAGTAAATGAGGTTAAAGATGGGACTTTGGCTAAAATAATCTGTGGATATACATTTTATGTGTGGCATCTTAATGCTTTATATAGGATTAATACAAAATGAAACCTTTGGGGGGAAAAGGCTACTGTTGTGAATTTTTTTGGTATTTTTAAACAGTTAAGTACAGTCACAATAGGCAATTATATAAAGATATCAAGAGTAGCAACAAGTAATCTAAGACACTTGCATGATTTTTAATATCTTTTTTTGTGACCTAAATGTTAAATCATTGCTTCATGCTAAAGCCGTTTGCCATAGCCTGTCAAAATATATGCTTTATGATTATTTTGTGTCAATATAAATATGAATTACAGCATTTTACTATGTTTGCATGTGTTTTTGTTCTCATCCTCAGCCCAAACTTCTTTAGGACCCGCAGCATCCGCTTAAGAAATGAATTCTTATTCAGGTAGTATTTAAGCACAGAACATTTACTCTACATGAGTGCTGTCAAAAATAATGGATGTAAATTGCTTTTAAAAGTTATAGTAAGTGTTTACTCGCTGAGCTATTGCTGTACAACATTTTACATTTTGTAAATTATTTAGGTCAGCAATTAACTTTACTTGACGTTAAGGTCAGGTAAAGTTAATTAATGTCAAAAGTTTCTCACAGTGGTTAACCAACGAATATGCATTCAGGAAAGTCTCACCTCTCGTTTCATTATTGCCATGGCAGCTTATGTTGATGAGGTATTTGAGTGTTGTGGTAAACAAATCAAGAACCAATGTGGACTTTATTAAATAAAGTAGTATTTGTTCTACTTTTCAGACTCTTCTTAATAAATATTACTATATATCTGATTTGCGCCATTATTGAAACATTAACATATCTGTACCTTGATCCATTACCCAATAGGTTTGACATGCAGTCATTATATGGAATAAAATTATGCAAATATCTGATGTATTAGTGTGAACTTGGTCAGAGTTTCCGCTGCTGGTTTATAGATTTTTCGATAAGAGAACATGTGGGATCTGAACATAAATGCAATAAAAGGTTCAGAGTTCAGTAAAGAGCCACACGCAGGCCCACACCTCCAACAATTAATAACATTCACTGATATCTGGCTTTAAAGATAGATGCCAGGATATAATAATTATCATATGACATCACTGAATAGATTATATTGCAACCATTGCACCTATTGAGGTCATATGTATGATTGGCTAGCAATAACAGAAGCTTTATAAGAACAAAGTTTTTGACAGAGTGACATTGGTAATTCAAAGTACAGTCATCATTTTTATGGTAACTAATAAATCATAAAAATGTGACATCAGTAACTGACCTGTTCACAGGTAGGTGTGCTAGTCTAGTCATATACAGTATATAATTCATCCTCTCCTCACTTTAGCACTCGAGAAGAAAGTTTGTTAGTTGAAGTCTACCTAATATTTCTCATTTTTAGTTAAACAAAATATTTACATCATGTGTACAGGAAAGTGCTCCAAGTTTATTGGCATTTGTCTCTATCCGCTGGCACTGCTGTCCATCATCTGCAACATTTTTCTGTTCTTCCCTGATTTTCAAACCATTTATTCCAAGGAGGAAGCAGAGGGACTCTACCGTCTTACAGATGAGATCAAATACATGGGAGGTGTTGTTGGAGGAGGCATCTTGGTGAGGAAATTCTCTTTCTCATTGTATTGTCACTGAGCTTTCCCTGACATTTCTGCTGGTGTTGTCTGACCAGTTTATAGGCACTATTTACATGAATATCCTAAAAAGAGAGCATACTTTGTAGGCTACATATCTTTAATATGTGACCCTGGACCTCAAAACCAGTCATAAGTCGCACGGGTATATTTGTAGCAATAGCCAACAATGCCTTGTATGTATCGATTTTTCTTTTATGCCAAAAATCATTAGGATATTAAGTAAAGATCATAATCTATGAAAATATTTTGTCAATTTCCTACCATAAATATATCAAAAATGTATTATCATTAGTAATATGCATTGCTAAATGTCTTTATTTGGACAACTTTAAAGGCGATTTTCTCAATATTTTGAGTTGTTTGCACCCTCAGATTCCAGATTTTTAAATAGGTGTATCTCGGACAAATATTGTCCTATTATAAGAATCCATACATCAATGGAAGGCCCTGATGTATAAAATCCATTCAAAAAATTGATCCTTATGACTGGATTTGTGGTCCAGTGTCACATATATTGATATAGATACTGTTTTTCCGTTTTAGGTGTTGATCCCTGCGATCCACATCCACAGCACAGGGAGACAAGGCTGTTGTTCAAACCGCTGTGGGGTGAGTTTTTCCAGGGTCATGGATTTTAATACACTAATACACTTCAGTAATTGAAATACTGCCTAAGCATTAAAGCTAGTGTGTCTACTTTACTTTAAAAAGGAATATTCATAATTTTAAAGAGATAGTTCACCCAAAATAGAAATATTCTATCATCATTTACTCACCCTCATGTCATTCCAAACATGATCAAATATGCTCTTCTACATTTTCCATTTAGTGACCCTTGCCGGTTGTGTTGTATTTGTCCATTAGATGTTCCTGTCCATTATCTTCGCTGCAGTTGGTGTGGCTGGTGCCCTGTACAGTGGCATTATAGCTGTGGTTGGACTGATTCGTGGACCAGTTTGCATGCTTGAAAATGATACATGGAGCAGACCATTCCTAAACAGGTATGAAAATGAATGGTCCGTCCCATTTCAAAGGGCCTAAGAGGTTTAAGAGGTTGTTTTCCGAAATGAATATTTATTGAAAAAATTTATAGAGAGGAACAGAGGCTCTCTCTCTCTCTCTATGGCCCTATTAACTGTGTTTGTGGAGAGTTACTGTTTTCTTTTTCTTTAATGTGACAATTTTTTTGTTGTTTGCAGCACTGAAAGCTACTTGGGAAACTCTGAAACTTGGGAAACTTGCGAAGAGCCAGAAAATATTGTGGTGTTTAATATTGCCCTGTTTTCTGCCCTGCTGGTGGCCGCTTGTTTAGAGCTGCTGCTCTGTGGATTCCAGGTGCTCAACGGTCTCTTTGGCTGCATCTGTGGTACATGCAATCACAAAGAGGTATGTACTCTAGATACAAAGGTGACTTCATTTCTAAAGGTCAAATCATTCATTTACCGCATTTATTACTAATAGTCATGCAATATCTAATAGAAAGATTGATTTATGGTTTCAGCATGGTGTCTTACACAATTTTTTGATAGTGGATCTAAATTATGCTCTATTTCCTTTAGGTGGCATAAGTTCAAAATGACAACAGCCAGATAACACAGGATCAAGATTTATCACCAGACATGTATCAGTCTTCATTATCGATCTGTGACCTTTAGCAAATGTGGGAGTGTACAGTAATAAACAAGAAAGGACCTACGAAGTGTACTTCACTGACTAACATTATATGTTGTCTATAAAAACATTATTTAGAGATTGAATAACAGATTGAGAAAATGTGGCAGCACTACCTTACTGGTAATTTCCAAATAAAATAAAATTGGTCCATTTTTTGTATAAATGTAAATAAGTTTTTTTTTTCTCATTTTATCCAGATCTTTTAATAATAGTCAATGTTATGTTAATATTAATGTATTTATGTTAACATGGTAAAATATAATAAAATAATGTTCTTCAAAAAAATAGTAAAAAAGGGGTTTTAAGTTCACTTTTGTTGCTGAATTACATCTGTACATGTGTATCAAGAGTAATAGCATATTCAACCACTTTTATGTCAGGCAGGACTTTTTTGACTATGATCTGAATGTACCCAGATGTTTAAAGCATTTTACTCTTTAAAAAAAAAAAAAAAAATTTAGCTAGTGTAGTTGGTTGTAGTGGCTGAAATAAAACTCATAAAACTCAATTTTAACTGGTCTTGGGTTGCTTCTTTATTGCACTTTTGTGATAATCTATGTGACTTACTACTGAGGAGTTAAATGTGGTTCAGTGTGGTTTTTGGAGTGTTTCTGCATGTATGTTTGTGTTCATTCATTAGTATTTTAAGCAGTATAAGAGGAGACCTTAAAAAGAAAACGACAAGCAGTGGACTGTTTCTGCTCTCACCGCAAACGCATTTCCTGAAGTAAACTGAAGAGATGAGACTGCAGCACAAGAGACGTCTTGGTTCATTGGCATCAGTACCAACAGAAGAAACTCTCTTCCAAAAAACACAAACGGTGAGTGCAATTACAACATCCACATAATCATTTTCTACATGTTAACTTATGTTAACAGATACAACTTTAAATTTTAATAATGGATTAGCAAGTTTTGAACTTAATATCAACTAACATTAATAAATGCTATATAATTATTGTTCATGTTAACTAATATAGTTAATTAATGTTAACAAATGAAACCTTATTGCAAAGTGTTACTGTAAATGTAAAATATAAGATTAAAAGAAATTCCATGTGTATTAAAGGCATTTGACTTCACTGCCATATGGCATATCTATAAATACATTTAAAATGGCATGTTTTTGGGCAGTCCTGACTTTTAACAACTTCTATAAAAGTAATGCATGTTAGTCTAGAGGTATTCTTTTCATTTAGTGTGCAAGTAGCGTATATAGGCTATAAATATATTTAAATAAACCACGCAAGATTGCTACTGAATTGGACAGCTTTGACATTTCTGTTAACTAATTTTCTGTTCTACTGTAAAAACATCACTTATACAACACAATAATAATAATAATAATAATAACTAATAAGACAATTAATAAGACAATGAAGTAAAGAAAGTATCAGAACATACAGTTTTCTTTTTTCTTCAACTTTTTTAGCTCACATAATTGTTGTGCAACATTTTTTTCAATAAAGATGACAAATGTGTGGGTGCCAGGATGGCAAGATCTGAAATGTACATTGTACCCTTTACGAGACTGTTCATGTCACTTGACCTTTAGAAATACACATTTCAACCCTACACTCATTTCTAAACACTTTGAGTAGGAGGAAAGGTTTATTCTCAGACACTTTTGTATTTCCCACGCACACAAGCTACTATACATTCTTGCAATACTCTGCTGAACATCTGCAAATAACCAATAACCAAGATCTCTTCTTGGTGCAAAAATTGTTAGGCATGATATTGTTGCATTAACAATCATTACACAACCATTTGCTTCTCTGTCATTACAGGCCATTGAAGGTTAGTCAAGAAGATAAATCCTGAGACCAGCGATGTCAAATCTTACGAATTTGACATGTCCAAAATCAGAAAAAGACCAGGTTTTTGTGGTTGTGTATTCAGTGGTTTTCATTTTTGGACTAATCCTCAACCTGACCGCACTTGTGATTTTTTTCCGTAACTCTAAATCACGCTCGCACACCACCGTGTACATGATTCACCTGGCCTTTGCTGATATTATTCTGGTTTGTACACTTCCTGTGCGGATCTATTACCACGGGGGGTTGGGGGTTCCGAACCTGAAAATCTGTGAATTTGCTGGTCTCATACTGCTAAGTAACATGTACAGCAGCATCTTCCTCCTCACGTGCATTAGCCTTGACCGTTGCGTAGCAGTCTGCTTCCCGCTGTCTTCTCGTGTCCGTGAGGGACGCAAGAAAGCATGGTGCGTGTGTCTGGGAATCTGGATCCTAACTATTACAACAAGCTTGCTGATCTACTTTCAAAAGAAGCAAGACAATACACAGCACAACATCACATGTTTTAGTAGTTTTCCTAGAATTTCGACTCAGAAACCTGCTCTCGCTTCCACTCTAATTGTTGGGTTTGGGATCCCACTGACTGTTATGATTGTCAGCTCATGGGGGCTCATCCGAGCTATTAGTAAAAGCACAGCTGTCCAGACTAGCGACCTAGTAGACAGCGGAAGGATTAAAAGGATGATAATAACAAACGTGGCCATCTTTCTGTTTTGTTTTCTGCCATATCATGTTATGCTCGTGCTACTTGATGACTATAAAAATCCGTGCTCACTGTTAACAGCCTACCAGTATAGCCTCATGGTAGCCTGCCTGAATGCAATGCTGGACCCCGTGGCGTACTACTTCACAACGGAGACGTTTCAAAGAAAAATGGACGTTGAAGCTGTACGCAAAAAATGGCAAATGAACAGTCACAGCTCAGAAGGAAACAACTGCTCACGTGCCCACAACGTGAGAGCATCAGTGGGGTCTATTCAACTCACAAGATCAAAATGAATGTTCATGTAGGCTAGGTCTCTCGTGCTTACATCGACATAGTTTACATGACAATTCACATATAGCTATCTGCTTTTGTAAGAAGGAAACAAGTTGAGAGATAGAATAATCATGTATGACTCAAAGGTTTTAAAAACAAAAAACAAAATAAAAAGAAAGAAAGAAAACCACAAGAAGTCTGACTTTTACATTTCTGGATGAACTGCTGACTGCATGCAAGCACAGTATGTGCAAAAATAAGTGTGGTCTTTATCATATATGCATCTCTGATAAAGTAAGTAAATGACTCATTCAGTCATTGATGTGCAACCCCTACTTTTTTTTCACAAGGAGCTCTCACTGGGAAGCCATTGTAATGTAACAGTATGATAAATTAGGATCATTTTTTTGATGAATATATGCAAAAGACAGTGAACTTATTCTAAGACAGTTAGATTAGAGCATTATATTCTCATCATGCTTTTCAGTAATTATTCATAACCTTTCAGTTTTGCAGCAGTTTTTGTTCACGTATTTCAAATGTTAATATTTGTAAGTATCGGTGCATTATAATTTTGCATGTGCATTTTTGATATGTGCATGGCATTTTGTTACTTTTCCATATAATAGTAGACTATATGGACATATGTGTTTAATTTAACATTGCCTGCTTAGAAATTTCCTGTTACATAGTGAAAAGTTTTGAAAGTTTTGATATTAGTTGTTTGAAAAAAACCACCAAAACCCTCTTTCCTGCCTGTTTCCACACTTCCCCCTCTCCACCACATCCGTTTGACCTGGTATACATAGCTTGTGCGGAGTACAACATAAATTGTGTGTAAATATGTTAATAAAAGTGATTAATACTTACCGAAGTATATTTAATTCTCTTTTGCAGTTTTAATCATTGTTATCCATCCATGTGGCTTTCTTTTTCTGATGCCAAAGGGAAACAAAAAGCAGGCATTGCATTGATAAATAAAAACATACACCTTTTTTATTTATTTAAAGGAAGGATGGTGAAACTTGTTCCTCTCATGACCACGTTTCCCAACAACCGGCTTTAATGTTCTGCTTTTTATCTCCCTTTAAAACATTGCATTTACTAGCTTGAAGCCTCATCTTCATTAGTGAAGATGACAAAATGACTCATTGCATAAATGATTGCTGTTAAATTATAATATTAGAATACTTGAATCTTTTACTTGTTGCTAAAAAGCCGTTTTATAAAACGGATAGTTCCGGTCCTTTATTCTGATTGGCTGAGCCACGTTCGAAGCTGTTGTAAATTACTCTACAAACATACACCTTTGTTTACGTTTGTCTGTTGCTTGGAAACCACATTGTTGCAACCACAACTGATTCTGAGGAACTGTTTGGTGAAAAAATACTGTTTTTATTAATATCATTACACTTTATTTGCTCTGTTTTATTTTGTGAAACCTTACTACGTATATGGAATAACCGTTTTATAAAAGCAACAAGCCCTGTGAAGCCGTGGTTTACAGTGAATTTATATTTATAAATATATATATAAATATATATATATTTGAATTTAAAGCCAAATTTAAAGGCAGAGTAAGTGATTTCTGGTAGCCAATGTTGATATTTGAAATCACCAAAACAAACACGCCCCTACCGAGCTTGTTTTGCGGTTCGGCCCGAATCAGTTTTCTAAAGTGTTTTTGAAAAATCACTTACTCTGCCTTTAATGTTCCTGTGGCTCAGTGGTAGAGCACAGTGTTATCAGCGCAAAAGGTTGTGGGTTCAATTCCCAGGGAGCACACATACTGATAAAAAACATATAGCCAGAATGCACTGTAAGTTGCTTTGGATAAAAGCGTCTGCTAAATGCATAAATTATTATTTATAACAGCTAAGGGGGAATTTATAACTCTGCTTCGCATCGTGCCTAACAACACCCATTAGCTGTTATACATTCACTGTAAACCACGGCTTCTTGGGGCTTATTGCTTTAGTTTTCCACGGCTCTGGCAGAAACTGCCTTGTTGCTAGGAGACGCGTGACAAATAGAAACAATATGTTCTAAAATCGACTCAAATATCAAATGTGTTTGATCTCCTCCGACTGGATTAAATCAGAGTCTGAAGCTAAAAATCAAGAGTCTGTGACCATCACACATTACACGATTTTCTATGAAATCTGTCATCTCAAATCTGCAGACTGGCTCTGACTTTCAGCAACTAGTCAACTTCTTCAGACTGTAAATCGGGACAAAATTTGTGTAGTGTATTCCAGTCTTTAGAGGGTAGGTCTGATTTTCAGGGATATGATCTTTCTCCAGTACTGCCTTCATTTTCATCCTGCACGTCTTAAGTTAAGGATTGACATTTTGAAGGATGTATGTAGATAACCACAAATGTCTGCTGACTGAGTGATTGACTAAGCCAAAAGCAGGGGTGGTTTCTTCATTAGGACGATAGGGGTGACGCAAGGGAAGTACGAAAGGGAGGGATTCTTTCTATCACATTCAACCACAGTGTCACGCACTTGCTGCATCCCAATGTGCCTACTTATACTACGCCCTTAAAGTATGTACTCTTTTAGTGAAGAAAAGTACACACTTTTGAGTGTGTAGTAGAAGAGTAGCCAAGCTTTGGGACATACTATCACGTAGGGCTGTGATTCGTGGCGATGATATAAAGTGTGAATCGACGGAAATTTTTCTAAATCGTTTACATAGATAGGCCTGTTGGGGAAAGCAAATATATCCGTGTTGCTTTTAGTGGGCAGGAATTATTCATTCATTCATTCAAAAGAAAGCATGGATGAATGAGTAATAGAATGTGATGTGCTTGGTGCAATTGCACTTATTATAAGTGTATATGTGTATGTCCTTTATACTTCTATGGCTCTCAATAGATTCAGTGGTTGGAGTTGGGTTAATACTCTGACAATTTCTGTTGCTACTTTCTGATTACGTTTCTGACTACATTTAAAATCAAAACATATTGATCATTTAATAATTGTTGTAATGCTAAAATGTTTGTTTTCAACTTCCAAATAGGTGTCCAGTGATTGATAAATAAATATTTGATTTCTGAATATTGTACCCTAATTGAAGTAGCCGTTTAAATAGGATCATGATTTTACATACCATTGCATGAATGACTGCCTAACACATAATATATTATTATATTTATGACTAACGATCAAATGATTAAGTAGTTAGAAACTAGTTGCTATGAATACAGGTGCCATCAGTTGTCTTTTTATGAATGACTTGTTTGTCAATGAGTCAGTGCTGCTGATGCAAAGTAGACTATTTGTTACCAAACACCATGTAACTAAATTAGGATACAATTA